TTTTGTTTATATGGGAAGCAAATAATAATTTCTTTTCAATTCACAAAATCAAAAAAGTTGGTAAAGAATAAAACTGCAGAAAATAATAAGCGATTGAGTCATTCATGTTCTCTAACCTTCAGTTGTCTCCCTCACACTCCCTCTCTCCCCCTCACCCTCTCAGTCACTCTCTCCGTCTCTCTCTAATTGATAATAAACTCAATTAAATAAATACACGATTCGTGTAGAGAAGCGCACATTTGTAGCAAAGTCTCAAAAATGAAATCCAAATTCTTTTGGAGTAAATAATAGCCGAAGAAAAGAGTCGATACTTAAGACACGACACGAACGGCACAAACAATTAGAGGACCGAGAAGTAGGAAAAGAGGCGACAATTTTTCTCCTATAAAAAAGTTTTACTCTTTTCAAGAGAAGAGTTTTATTGTGCAAACAATGAGAGAGAATGAGAGGTCACTCCTTAGCGGTTCCTTAAGAGCTCTCTCTTTCGGAAAAAGTCTCCGAAAAACACTCCTCTTCTCAAAAAGCAATTCATCAAAAAATATTTCATATTTTTGAATATTTATAATATTTTGTTTGATATATTATATATGTTTTTGGTCTCTCTCTCTCTCTCTCTCTCTCTCTCTCTCTCTCTCTCTCTCGGTGTCAGCTCACGGATCAAGAGGAGCACCAGATCCGTGTGTTTGTGACGATAAAGTCATGCCATAAGTGCTCTCAATATATATATGACTCACTCGTGAAAAGAGAGCGAAAGAAACGAAGAGAAAAATTTTAATACGATTTTTATACTATTCTCTAACAATAGAATTCTTTACAATTGATTGTCACACAAATTGTAGGGTAGGGTCGGAAATGGCGGCAATACATACAGAGGACACCAACTTATACCACTCTATACACGCCAGTAGTAAAAGTATAGCCTCTTCTCAAACACATAACACAATATTGCAGTGATTTTGCAGTGATTTGTTGGACTTTTGGATTAAGGAATACACAAATACTGAGACACAGAGGTGTGAAAGTGTGTAAACGATTCGTGGGTTTCACACAATTCACAAAAGTTAAGAATTGTATGAATCGTCGCATCGGTAGGTGAGAGAGACTGGAGAGGGAGAGAGAGAAGGCGAGAGAGAGGGAGAGAGAAGGCGAGAGAGTTGTGGTGTAAAGTTAAGGAGTAAATCAATAGAGTTAATGAGTTGTATAATTAAATCTATAATAATAAATGGTAATAATAATAATAATAAACAGATAGTGTTTAAAAATAACAGCAAAGCTATTCATATTTGTGGAGCCATTGAATGAATGCGAATGAGAGCTACGAAAACAAGAATTTTTATTTTTGTTTGACTGACGACAACATTCTCTGCTAACACTTATTTTTCTCAACAAAATCAGCAATTTTTCAACTCTTCATTATTTCGTATATTTTAGCGAAAAATTGCGAAAAAACACTTTGGAAATGTGTGTCATTAAAGGGAAAATGCTTAACCAAAAAACAAATTATGAGTACCAGAAAATCAAAACAGAAAATCGCATAAAAATATTTATATATGTTTCAATCAAATTAATTAATCTGAGCGAAAGAAAAACTTTATTAATAAAAGTCACACAACGACGGACTGAATATTAAGTTTCAATAAAAATATTAAAGTTATAAATATATTATACGATCAGAAAAACTCTTATAATACGAGGAAAATGTTAAAAACACATTTCAATGTGAGAAACAAATATATGTTTAGAATGGCAGAGAGAGAGAGAGAGAGAGAGAGTGAGTGAGAGAGAGTGAGTGAGAGAGAGAGAGAGAGAGAATGGTGAGCCGGTAGAGCCGACTGAGACCTTCAACATTACATCGAAACCCACTCTCGAGGACCTGTTCTGGTAGTAGTAATCGTGCGAATGAATGACTAACTGATAGAGATATCAATCAATTATATATTACTAAATAGAAAACTGTTTTGAAATACATATAAAAAATCGTACATAAAAACCAAAATGAATGTTAAATCAATTAAATGCCTGCACAAAAAACAGCTAAATTTGGATCAAAGTTAGAGAATTAATTTTTCTTTCCTTAAATTAATTCATAAACAATATCTTAAATGTGTTTTTATTTTGTTTTTATTTGTTATCTGATGTCAATAATTATTATGTTTTGTTTTCGCAAAAGAATTTTTTGCTTTTTCTCTCGTCTTTAAAACATATTTTGCAATCAAATGAATAAATAATGAATGAAAATAATATTATGTGTAAAATAATAAAAACTAACATTTGAGTGAAAGTACAGTAATTTATACATTAATTAACATTTCGTAAGAGAAGACTTGACTAAAACTTATCGTTATAGCAATCTCTTTATCACTAATACCGGTAATAAAGTATAAAAACTTATTTAAACACATTTTAAATAATAATAAGACGATCGCTAATAAGGAAAGGGACATACAATAAGGGAAAGGGAGAGACAGTCGTGAAGCCTCTTATATAATGTTGAGTAGAAATGAATGTAAATAAAAGTTCACAATTAGAGTGATTTGAAGAATTTAGCGCTGATTTGTCTGTTTGTTTATTTTATTGATTCTTAAAGTGTTATGAATTTTATAAATTGATGACTAAAAGGAATAAGTATTTAGTTGTTGGCAGCAATTGCCAGCACTGGATGACTGGATGAGAGAGAGAGAGAGAGAGGGAGGGAGAGAGAGAGCGAGAGAGCGAGAGAGAGAGAGAGAGGGAGAGAGAGAGAGCACAGGAGTTGTGTCTGCGATTGGAAGCTCTTTAATGACAGCCACAACCGAATAGAGGAACAGATCTCTTCAGATCTATAATTGATAAGAGGCTGGAGTTGAATGAGCGCCAGACATGTGCTCATCATATAAGCCATACGAATATTATATCAATAATTTTGAGTATAAACTGCTTATTACGAGAGAGATGTACTGTATAATATTGACGACAATTACTTTCATAAGTCATTATTAAATTTATTTCCTTTTTAAGTATTATCTAATGATGTCTTATATGTAATATGTATTTGTAGTTAAGCTATGAGTGCAGGCATTGATTAAAATCAAACATACATTCAGTCTCTCTCTCTCTCTTTCTCTTTCTCTCTCTCTCTCTCTCTCTTCATCCAAATACTTGTTATTTAAGTTTTTGACTTCCATTGGACTCCACTCTTATGCTGTGTTTCACTCAACCCTTCATTCAATTCACTGATTCACTCCTCCCTAACAAGATCTGTTCCTCTATTCGGTTGTGGCTGTCATTAAAGAGCTTCCAATCGCAGACACAACTCCCTGTGCTCTCTCTCTCTCTCTCTCTCTCTCTCTCTCGAGTCTATCCTTCGAAATATTTAATGAACTCATTCTGTGATTGCAATCGTAAGACATTTGAGTGAATCAATCGATTGAAGGGAAGAGAAAATATTAAATTATTAATTGATCATTCATTAGATAGAGATTTGCCATTAAATTCTTTGAGCACCGAAATTAGAGAGACAATCATTTTATGTATATTTAATGCCATTAAACAGGTGTTTCGCTGCTCATAATAATGTGTATTTATGTGTAATTACAATATATGTGTAATTATATTGTAAAGTTAAGAGAAGACCGACATTATCTGGTTAGGGACTACCGTATGCCTACACAACCCCTACTGTACCCTAAACTCATTAAAATAATCTCAAAGGTATACTTTGTTGTCCTAAATGTATTAATCAACGGCAGAAGTGTTGCTTAATTCGCAAATATATGAGTAGTTAGGCATTTGAGTGTTATCAGAGTCAAAAATAGTCAGTTCTCAAAGTATTGTCATATTTAATTGATTTCAATATATTATGCCTTTTATTAGATATAATTGTTGAACACTAAAATAATGTTGACGGCAGTCAAGTCTGTATTTATTTTCAATGAGATAAATCATAATTGCCTTTAGGCTTAATTAAATCAACTTTTTTCCATAAAAAACTCTAACTTTTAAAGTTAACGCACATTTTACAAGTATGGGATAAACTGTTTAGTTGTATAATAAGTTATAACATTTAATATTATACAGAATATGAAATATTATTTTAATGTTACATTCGTTTTGCAGTTAAAAACCTTACGTTAACTCTTGAAATAAAAAGAGAAATTCTGTATAAAATACTAAATCATTTTTCAATAAATTTTCCTTTAAATAAATTTTTAACTTCCATTTCATTTCACTTACAAATCAAGTCTCAAAGTAAGAGAAAAAGTGGTTTTTATGTGCGTTTGAGTTCAGGAATTAATTTATATTAGTTATGAGGCACCAGACAATCAGACTATATCTAATTGAGAGACAATTTTTACACACAATTTATTATAGTCTTAATTCCTCGAGAATCACAGGATTTCTATTACCGTAATGACGACAACGAGAGAAAAATTGCAAAAAATTTGTTTATTCAATACATTCTCGCTTAACGTCTATCTTTACACTCAATTTCATATGCGATTCTCTATTCAATTAATTATTTATGTATAGCTTCTCTATAAACATATCTTATTCTTCCCCTTAGCTCTCTCTCTCTCTCTCTAATTGAATTTAAAGTCAATTTATTCGTTGTTTTACAACAATTTAATTAAACAAATATTATTAGTACTGTTAATGCAATACAGTTTGTATTTACGCGAAAAGCGTTGTATTTAATGTGCAAAACAGACAAACCATTTGGTAGTGAAGGCAAACGGACACGAAGGACATGACTCGGAATATATTCACTAATCATTTGCATTTATGGCTAAAAATACAACACAAATGTTGTTACAAATCATAATTATTGAATAGGAGTGCGAAAGTGGTGCTCAAATAGTGTTGTTTTCAATATTTCTCTTTCGGCGCCCAAAAAATATTTGGATTTTTTTCAACACAAAAATCAGAGGAATTTCGCGACAGAAATAGAGGCGAAATATTTCAATAAATATGTAAACATTAGGCAATCGTTTTGACGGCAATTTAGGCGACCGGTCGTCGGTCTAATGGAGCGAATATAGAGCCAAAAGAGGAGACAATACCTGACAGAAGCACATCTCGCAGTCGTCGCGCTCTGTCTTCCACTGCGAGCCTTCCTCGTAGATCTTCGCCTCATAATAGCACTTATGGGTCGGCTCTCCAATCAAATTGTTTTGTTGGTTCTCGTCGTTAATGAACTTCTTCTGCACGCCGTCCTCTTCCGTGCCAACGGCCGGCGCCTTCGGTGTCGACTCATCTACTGGTGGCTCACTATTTGTCTGATTCAACGGCTGCTCTACTGTTAATGTCTTATTTGTCTCCAATTTGGCGGAAGATTCTGTGAATTCTGGAAATTCTGTTACGAAAGATGGGTTACGAGTGACAAACGAAAGGGTCGATTAATTATAGCTGCGATCGAGACTATTATATCACGCCTTACCATCATCTCCGGGACATGTCTTACAACATCTTTCGGGCAGAAGCACCGGATCATCACATGTAGGCTTCGGGCAGTCATTCTTCAAGTTCTTGCACCTGACTTTGGCCACAACCCGACTCTTTCTTTGTACCTATCATTCAATTATTCATATATTTATAGCAAATATATTTTTTTATGAGTATCATTAAACATAACAAAAATAGATTTATAAAACCAAAAGTCATGTATTGTCTATAAAAATGTGTAATAATTACTATGTTTTTAATATCATATCCGAAAAATAAATTCAGTAAAAAAGTGATATAGACTTACAGATACACATTCACAACGAATACAATAATAGACACCAAATGGTTGCAAATTGGGTTTCCAATGATCACCAATTTGATGAGTTTCATTACCAAAAGGACAATCTGTTTGACAGTAATTATCATACCATTGGTTAACAAACAATTCATTTGCAATACAAATAGTAGTTACATAAATGTAATAATAAGTGTTTTACTATTTCTCTTAAATGATATTCACTTTATTATTGTTAAATTCACTGCGAAATTGTTATAACTTATGGCTTTTTCTTATCTGTTGTTTTTTGTTATAAAATTTTTATACATTTCACATAAATTACTCGGAAATGTTTCCTTAAATTTCTCTATGATTAAGAGGTGGGACAGCCAAGTGTTAGGCCATACCATACCACACATCCCATACCCAACATTATTCTCTATTCTACGCCAACTTCTCATAAAAACAAAATATTTCTAAAAATAAGGGATTTTTATTTTTGGGGTTTTATTCAAGAATTTCGTGATAATCCCATTCTCTCTCTCTCTCTCTCTCTCTCTCTCAAGAGAGAGAGAGAGAGAGAGAGAGAGAGAGAGAGCAGAGGTGATGAGAGAGACTGAGAGAGAGCGCACGTGAGACTCGTATCGGAGAGATAATAGACGTGTTGATCGAGATAATGATGGGTCAGAAGATGCGTTACTCACGAGTGGGTCTGTCGTTGTGGTGACTCTTATGCTGTCGTTCCTCAATGAGCGGTGGTTTAGATTTCTTGCGGGCCTCACAACCGGTCAGCCAATTGTCAAACACGACAAACACAGCGACACAGACATAGAGTTTGAGGCAAACACTGGTTGTGACGGAAAACCGCATTATTTGGGGTCACTATTCAAAAGTCGCAAACTTTGGCCACAAATATATTCACTCATCGATTGCTCGCGGAATCGCAAGAATTGTCACTATATTTCTCGATATACTATATATTACTATATATTATATTCTCGATATACTCGACACTACGGAGGACTGGTATGAGGGCTGGTAGTGGTCGAGAAGTATTGGTTCATTCCTAACACAACTTTATGACAATCACTCATTCAATCGTGTGTTGTGAGCGTCGGTCGAGAAACCCATTTATATATGACTTATAATTGACGTAAAAAATCACTTATTTTTCACTTATTTTTGATTTGAAGGCAAAAGAAAAACTGTTTTCAAACGAGCGTTGAATTTGAATGTGAATTGTGTTCAGAAGTAAGTATGTGTTGGGCTTTGGGTTAGTGTTGGGCACAGAATATACAACTAATGCTCATAACGGAGAAGCACTGAATGTGAACTGAGAGAGCACTGGTAGGCACTCACACACACATACACACCAACCACTCACTCGCTGTACTATCAGAGCACATACGCTGAGCCTATCGTACATACAGTGCTGACAATATGAGTAGAATTCTGTCTATACATCCAATCCATACATACATACACTCTCTCTGGCACTGAATGTACAGTATGTATGCACTGGTATTGCAATAGTAGTTGTGTTGCAGAGACTGATAGATACGGATTGGGATACGGAGTGTATGTTGTGTTCACTACATTTGGGATGCAATGCAAGGGATCATGAATTGTATGCAATCCTCTCATACTGTACTGAATATAAAGTTTAGGAGAAGTGATAGTCAGCCCAACAGTTATATAGACCCAGAATACAGAATACAGGAAAAGCTCGTTTAGATATTTATAGATTCCATATATACCAGGGTCAAACATCACATCCACTGACATTGTGTGACAGCTCGTGTGACAGGTCAGCACCGGACAAGTGGATTGGACAGGGATTAATGGTGTTTGAATGTATGAATCTCAAGTGTATTTGCAGGTTATGATGGGAATGGGATGTGTTGGCTGATTGTACCCCTCATCCCCTCATAATATAAATAGTTATTTGGCTAATGAATGAATGAGTGAATGAATGGTAGGGCACAGGTGTGAAGACATGTAGGGATGTGTGAGGTGTTGGTGGACATGACCACCCATTGGTCTATGGATGTGAATGGATATATGGTGTAGATTGAGGTCATTTAGTGATTCAAATTGTCTTTAGCTTATATAGCTTTACAGCAGTAGTAGTGCTATAATAAAAGGATTGCTATGAGAAAAGTCAACACCAGGTGCACAACCGGACCATCAAATGGCTTATAATGCAAATCGAATTCTTGGATTCGATCACTGCATTGGATTCCTGTGTCAAAGCACTTGTCATATCCCGTCCCACATGTACTGTATGTGTGACACAAGTCTCTCACTTTTGCCACTCTTCTGTGTATTCATTAAAATTGTATTTAAATGTTAAGGAATTTTCGAGTGTTTTATGCATTTTTATTTGTCAAATGAATACAAAACCGGAGGATTTTAGATAATATAGTAGTATAACAGTAAGTGAGTGGAGAGAGAGAGAGAGAGAGAGAGAGAGAGAGAGAGAGAGAGAGAATTCGAAGCGATAGATAGAACTGAATATAAAACTTTAATTCTCAACAAAAAAGTTAACAAAAAAAGATCTGAAAAGACGATAAATAAGAAAATAAAGTTTTTTAAGTATTTGTTGGACTGATGTGCCACTCATGGACTGGTGACTGGTCTGGCAGTCTCTGGAAGTATATGCCGTCACATACAGGCAAAGGGAGTATCATTTTTTGTGTGCTTTAGTTTGCATTTGAATGACAAACGATTTTTGCGTCAAAGAAAAAGAAGTGAATTAACAAAAACTTCTCTCAAACTCCAGGCCTTGAATTGTATGATCTCTATCCACGAGACACAGAAAAGACTATCATTTCTCTCTCTCTCTCTCTCTCTCTCTCTCTCCCTCCCTGTGCTTCGCATCTAATAAAACGTTTAAATCGTTTTTCATAACAGATTTTCATTGAGAAGTCAACTTTAGAGAAGTTTTGGGAAATTATTGATTCATAAATTATATATTGATTTTGGAAATCAATTAAATATATAAAAACACCGTTTGTCTAATACCGAGTAAATTATGAGTCAATAATTCATGAAAAAATACGTGTAATTTATTTGCAAAAATATATATTCAACGCAACAGAGTTTTAATTGCATACAAATTAAGTTATATTACATTAACAACAAAACACATTAAATAAAAATAAAACTCAAATAATATTAAGAGGACTTCACTTGACGTCTGGTTTGTAAAGACAATTAATGGCAGAAAATTTATTATTCGCCAAATCTCTTATGCAATCATTTAATGGTTTTTGGTTTTGAAATATAGTCAGCGATGCCATACGTCCCCTTCAGTAGGCGACTCGACTCGAGAGGCAATTGATCTTTGGGTATGGGAAAGGGCCCGCAGTCGGCCTCATATATCATGGGCAGCCTTAACACCCAATACGTGGACTGCGAGAGTCGGATGGGCTCAGCGTTGCCCGCATAGAATATAGGACAGGGTATGGGCGCCGGTTGCACTCTGGGGTTCAACGTGACGTTTACCGGCGCTTTAGGTGTGACGATATGTACTCGCATTAATTGCGCCAACACGTTAGGCTTTCCCTGTCGGCTATCGGTGCCACGCAAATGGGATAAAAAGAGAGACACGTAAAGAGTTATTGAATTATGGAAAAGGAGTTTAAACACTAATTCTATAATTTATTGCTTTAAATGTTTGCTTTAAAAGTGTGCGTAAAAAACGCCAATCCTTTGCCAATAGGGATGGGAAGGGATGGCATGGGATGTGAGAGGAGTATAGCGAATGCCTTACTTGCAAACACAGGGGAAGTATAGCGGCATATCATTGCTGGCGACGCGATTGGCCGACTCCTTAACGATTCCCATATTTGCTTTGAGCACAGAGTCAGGTCCAGAAGCGATGAAACGGTGGCCGCGATGGCACTCGTACTCTACGCCTATGAATACCTTTACTGTGAATTGTGTGCCGTCTGTGCGGTTGGGAAACAACAAAAGCAATGAATAAATTACAATAAAAACAAGAAAAACGCCAAAAAAGAGACGAATAATAAATGAAGAATTAAAGCATTAAAACCTTTGAACGTCTTCTTGTTCTTAATACCCGGCGGTCTCTTCCCCTCCCAAAGGGGCGGCAAATGTCCGGAATGTTCCAACTTTACGGTCACATCCCATGGGAGCAGAAAATTGGCGCCACTTATGAAACCCGGCTGTTCTTGAAGGCCGATGTTATGCGAGTAGAGACTCGACGGACCCAAACATACCAAAGACCACGAACTGTATTGCGGCAGAAGTCCCGGCGGACTCATTGTGTGCAACATTCCCGGCAAATACTCCGTTGTGGACGACTGGTGCAGCAGTTGTCCCATATATGGACTCTCGCTCTCGCGAATCACTAACTGAATGTCGTTCTCCCGGTCGGTGTCGGCGCCGTCATCGCTGTCCTCATCGCTGCTACTCGTCTGCGAGTCGTCCTCGTCGTCGTCCACCAAGTCTTTCACCAACTGTTCGGATCTCATCTCTAATTGGGGATCCATTTTGTTTTGCTGGTCCGACATCTCCGTGTCGGCCGCCTTACTCTCCTCTTCCTTATCCTCTTTGACACTCACTTTGTCTTTGAACTCATCCAACAAGAGGTCAGTATTCAAGTCAGCGCTCACTTGTTGTGACAAATTAGTGAACTCCGAGACAACGCCGGCGTCGGGCTGTGACTCAAAGGCCAACTCCGGAGTCAACGACGTCTCGAACTGAGAACTCGCAGCCTTCGAGTGGACAGGACTTCTGGGCAGAGGGACAGTGCGCGCGGGCTCTATGTAATCGCTGCTCGGCTCAAACACTGGGAACAAAACGCGCTCCAAATGACCACAACTGCACTTATTCCTCATGAGTGCGTAGAAGTCATGGTTCGC